TTTTTATTTAGAAATAGCTAATTCAATAAATAAATATTCAAATATTCAACTGAGAAGAAAATAAAAAGAAATTTAGATTTTTGAATATTAAAGAAAAAAGTTAATATAAAAATCTATCTCAAAAATTATTTCAACTATTTTTGATAATTATCAAATAGAGTTTTATTAAATTTGTCTTCAATTAAATTAAATAACATCATTATCATTTTTTGTAATTTTTTTTTATTTACAAAAATAAAATTTACTTTCTTAACAAATGGTCCCAGGCATCTATCTATCTATCTATCTATCTATCTATCTATCTATCTTTTATTTACCAAATATTTAACAGATAGTTGATTAGTGAAATAATTTATTTGAAAATAAAAATTCAATCAAACAAAATATAATTCTACAAACAAATAAAAGAAATAATTTTATTTGATTTAAAAAAAGAAACAGATAAGTATATTTATTTATTTATTGAGACATATATTAAAATTAAAAAGAATATTTTATTATTTAAACATAAAAAACATGAAAGTTGAAATTTTAATTAATTTTACAAAATGTTTTTTTTGTTATGAAAATATGAAAGTAAATAAATAAATTAATAAATTAAAGACAAAATTCTTTGAATATGCATAAAAATTAGATAATTATTTTAGTATTTAACCGTTTTTTATGAATAAATAATAAAATAAATTTATAAAAAAATAAATGAAATTATTTATTTATTGATTTACTCATTCTTATAATTATTTGTATAACTAACTAACTATGTAAATATGTGTTACTGGGTAGATTACATATTTGTAGGCTAATTACTGCTGTATAAAGAAACATAAATAAATAAGTAAAAAATTATTAACAAGATTTATATCTTTCTTTCTTTTGTTCTTTCCTTCTTTCTTTATTTTTGAGAGATAAATGGAAGGAAGGAAGGACGGATAGATAGATAGATATTTAATTTGATATTTATTTAATAATTTATCAATTGTTGATTTTAGCAAAACGTTCAGATTCTTAGTATTTTTTAATATTGGGGATGCTTTCGAAGTTTTAAAGTAAGGGGTCGATTTGAGCAGCAAATTCGGCGTAGGCTTCAGGAGCTTTCTTTTTTAAGTTGAAGAAAAAGACGTAAGCATAGATATCGGCAATAGTGAGTTCACTGCAGAATTTATTTTGGGATCCAAGGTAGGTTTAAACAAGCCTGGCTTTGGGGAGGACGTCGTTTTGGATGGCATTTTATTTCTCTTCAGCATTTTCCTTCATAATTGCTCCAAAAAGTTTGCCAAGTATTTCTTAACAGACATATCTAACGTGACCGACTCTGTATTTATCCTTACCTTCACCTAGAAGTTTCTATTGGTTGGTTACTTCGATGACATAATTTACAACGTTCTGGCTTTCAGTAATTTTGAAGTCGCCATGAATAATATAAGGAAGGTTAGGATAATCAAAACCCAAAGTTTGTTTATCTTTTTCGAACCAGTCAGCACGATTTTACATGGTGTATAATCTGTCTTCATATGGAATGCCAGCTAATTCTAAGACGTATCTGGCAGGTTGACCTTATAAGTGTACAGCCCAATAACCTAATACAATCTTTTCATTAATACAGTCTTTATCCTTAACAGCGGAAGAACCAGAGCAGCCCATTCACTTTATTTATTTATTTACTTGCTACTTGCTTTTATTTTTAAATGATAAAAATTTAATTGTTTGATCTTTAATTAATTTGATAGATTCTTTATTTCTGAAAACAAACATAGATAGATAGATAGTTAGTTAGTATGAATCAAATCAATCAATCAATCAAAACAAACAAGAAAGGAAAAATAATTGTTCGTAGATAAATAAAAAATAAGTAAATAAATAAAATTAAGGCTATAACTTATTTATTGACTTAAGTATGTTGAAAAAATTGTCAAAATCAGATTTTCTTCTACGAAAAAATTAAGAAAATAAAACGCTTAATTAATCATTTAAAAACAAAAAAAAATTATTTATTTAATTCAGAAGGTGATTAATAACCTCAGTTTTTAAAAAATTAGTTGGTAAATCATTTATTTTTTGTATGATTTTTTAAAATTTTCATTTATTTTAGTGAAATAAAATAAATCTATCTGTTCTGGCTGGTTGAAGATTTCTTAAATTTTTCAGAAATCACTAAAAACACTTTTTAATTTTTTTCTTACATTAAAAATGTTTATGAAGAGTTTTTCATCTTTTTTATTCTCTTTTCATGTTTTTTTGCATTTAATTTTCTGATTTCTTTTCATTTTTACAGTTAAACATTTTGCAGTAGAAAGAATTCAGCTTAATTTTCTATTTTTCTTAGAAAAAATATCAAAATCATTGATTCAAATTTGTTTTTAGATATTTTTCATATTTTAGTTTATTTTTTTCTTCGTTTTTATGATTTTAATGGATTATTTTTAAAGATTTTCTTTTCAATCATGTCAATTATTATTTTTAAACGTTTTGATGTATTTTAAAATATTTGGTTTATTATTTATAAAATCTAAATGCTACTTACTTACTAACTAACTTAGTATTAGATAAATAGAAGATATTTATTTTGTTTTTAAGTTGAATAAGAGAATGAAATAATTGAAAATGAAATAAATTTCTAAACACACAAAACATGAAAAAAATAAAGTGAATATTAGTTTGATTGTTTGTTTGTTTGTTTGTTTATTAGTTAGTTTTACATAAATATTTAATCTATCTATCTATCTATTTTCATTATTATTAGAATCTAGTACAACGATCAGACTCGATGTAAGCTTTGATTTCGGGAATACTTCTAAAGGCATCTAAGAAAGCTTTGAATGATTCCTCAAATGGCTTGTAGGAGTCACCACCTAATTGTTAGAAATTATCAATAATGCAGTAAGCATAGATATCAGCCAAAGTTAAAGAGTTGTTGAAGAAATGGGCCTTTTTATTGAGATCTTTTTCTAATAATTTAATCTTAGGCAATATCTTTTCGATTTCTTAAGTTCTTTCTTCGCCTTGTTTCATACTGATGGGCTTGAATGAGCCAATCAAATCGTTGCAGAAAAGGACTATATTTTGAATTTTGAATTTGGTTTTATCTGCTCCCAAAAGATTTGTTTACTTAGTGAGATCAATGATGTAAGCGACTATATTTTAAGATTCTGTCATCTTGACATCTCCATGAATGATGTAAGGTAAATTAGGGAAGTCGAGTCCAAGATTTAACTTATCTTGCTAAAACCACTCATCTTTGTTTGAATATTTTTTGTCCTAATAAGCCTACTTGCCTAATTCAAGTAAGTATCTGATAGGTTGTCCTTTTAAAGGAAGGCCCCAGTATCCCAAAATTAATTCACTCATTTATGATTTACTTATTTACTTACTTACTTTAAAAGTTGATTCCTTTACAAATTAATTAATTAGATTTTATTATTGAAAACTCAACAGATAGATTAATCCTTTCATTCAATTAATTCAATCAATAAGATATTCATTCATTCATCATAACCCTTATTTAATTTTTATCTATCACCAAGTCATAAATAAACCAAATAAACTAATTAATTAATAAATCTTCTTTAATTATGAAACAATTTTTTAAAATATAATTTACGTATTGCCTAAAAAAGATATAAAATCATTTTAGCATGTTTATCTGAATAAACATGAATTCTTTTTTAGCTTTTTAGAAAAACAAACATTGCAAAATTGATTATTTCAGAATTAAAAAAAATTTTACTATGTATTTTAATCAAAAATAAAAATATTTTTTACCAAAAATCAAAAATAAAAATATTTTTTACCAAAAATCAAAAATAATATTTTTTATTGGTTTGTTTTTAATAAGTCTGTATGAAAAAGTTAATTTCATCGTTTCGAATATAATTAGTAATTCATTTATTTGTTAAATAATCTAAAACGTATTTTTATGTTCGCTCTAAATTATAAAAAGTAAATAGACCTAATTTTTTTATTTATTTAACAATTAATTAATCAACAAAAACTAATTAGCAAAAAAATAAATATTATTTAATTATGAATAAATTATTTTAAAATGTGATTTTTTATTGGTTTTATAAGTCTGTCTGATACAATGAATTTCATCATTTCATATATTATAAGTAACTTATTTATTTATCTATCTATTTATATGTTAAGGATATAAATCTAAAACAAATTTTTGTTTTCTTTCTAAATTAAAGAAGTTAGTCAATTGACCTAGTTTTATTTTTTTATTTAATAATGAATAGTAAAGTAATCAACTAACTATCAAATTAATTAATAAATATTCTTTAATTATGTCTAAGTGAAATTCTTTAATTAATATTAAATATTTATTAGCAAAAATAAAAAAGATATTTTAATATTTTTACAGGTTTTTTTATTTTATTAAAGTGAATAAATTATTTTAAAATATAGAATTAAATTATTTTATCTATTTATTTATTTAATTACTTATTGAGTATATTAATCTAAATCAAATTATTTATTTTCACTCTAAGCAAAGTAATTAATATACCTAATTTGGTTTTATAATTATCATTTATTTATAATCAAAGCAAGCAAGGAGTAATCAGGTATATTTATATATCAATAAATATTTTTTAATTATGAAATACTTTTTTTTAAATATAAAAATTTATTCATTGTTTAATAAAAAAAGTAAAAATTATATAAGTATTTCTTTCTTTCTTTCTAATAATTGCTTTTGATTGATTTTCAAAAGTATTCAAATTAATAATTTCTAGATAAAATAATTAACTTATTTATTTATTTATTTATTTTTATATTAATTTATATTTTAGTTATTTTTTTTCTTTTCTAAATTATCTTTTTAATAGGCTAAATTATAATTTAGATTTAAAAATATAGCAATTATTAAGCAAATAAATCAATTAATTAATTATTATAAATCTTCTTTAATATGGAGTCATTAATCTTTAGAAAATATATCTAATTGAATAGCAAAATTTATTTTTATTTAATATGCTTATTAGAGCCAAATTTATAATCAAAATATAAAAATTAACTAATTTATTTATTTAATATTTTAACGGGGGTCAGTATTTTTATCCTATAGATAAAAACATAAGTATATCATGGATAATTACAAAATTGATTTGGATTTGTTTGAAAAGCTTATTTTCCCACCCCTATTAAAAACTTATCCTTAATTGGTAAGATAAATGAATCATTCATTCATTTATAATTGCTAAGATTCACTTTCAGTTTATTTAAAAAAATAATATTGAATTCTTTGATGAGCAATTTTAAAGTAAATTTTATTTTAAAAATTTACAAATTTAAAAAGTTTGTCTGTCTGTCTTAAGCAAAATAAAGGATTATATTTTTATAATTAAAAATATAGTTTTTTGCATAAAATTGTTAAAATTTAATTTTTTTAATTAGATTAAATAATTAAAATAAATTAAATAAATGAATATTAAAATTATTAAATAGCTAAATAAAGGAAAAAAGATCTTAGATCTATTTTTTTATTTTAAAATTAATATTTATATTTAATTGGATTTTGTAATTTAAATACTTTTTATGATAAATCACTTTCTTTGCATATTTATTTTATGTTTTTCTATATAATGAGAGATTGATTGGTGAAATGATAGCTGTAAGCACAAATTAATTTAAGGATTTGAAAATATTTGGCTTATAGTTAGAACTTATTCTTTAGAGCAAAATATTAATTAGAACTTCCGATTAATTAATTAGTGATTATTATTAAGCCATATAATAGAGCAATAAAAAAAATAATAAACCAAAGAAAGATTTAACTTTTCCATTCATTCTTTGTTATTATTAATAATTAAAATACTCGTTGAAAGATTAAAAAGTTAATTATCACTAGCAAGATTGATTGATTCATAGAATTCATAGATAGATAGAAACTATTTTAACGAAGGAAATTTAAGTTAAATTAAGTATTTTTAAAGGAGAATTTTACCAAATTGGTTGGTTTGGATATTACTGTTTATAAATTAATTGCATTTGCGAATTGATGTTTCTAAATGCTGATGATTTTTTAAACTATTCTTTGGATAAAGAATCAGAAAAATTGATTGATCATTATGTTTATTATTATGATAATATCAAGACTCAAAAGAAAAGATAGCCTAAAGTTAAAGAGAATTTTTTGGAGTATTAAAAGCCGCTCATGCAGCAAGCAAAATTTCCATAAAAAAGAGTGAAGTCTTCTAACGCATCTCGCAACGCTTTGTCGAGAAGTTTTGATGAAAATTAAACAACTTTGTATAAAAATAAAAATGATAAAATGTCACTCTTCAATATCGCTGAAGAAAAGGCTTTGCTATCAGAAATGTCTGAAGAAAACTTTGAAATTCAAGGATAAAATCGCAATCATTATCTGCAATAAAATATTGGGCTTCGAAAGGTGAAGAAATTATACCAAAAAAACAACTCTTCTACGAATAACTATCCAAATAGCAATAATTGGTAGTAGTAGTAATAATAATAAGATCAACCAGTTAGTCAATAAAATATACCGAATTTAAAAAGATTGAGTGTTTTTACTACAGTTTAGTCAATTAATTCTAGCACTTTACTCAATCAAACGGGAAATAGCAACGGGTCGCATTAAAAAAAGTTTCCTTCCATAAAGAAACCACCTCCTGAATTAGATAATTTAAGAGATATTTCTTCAACTGATAAGACTGTATCAGTCTCCAAAGGCTTTCGAATAGTCAACAATAAGCCTAACAATATTAATTTTTTGTCTCCGAAAAGTGAAAAACTGTTTGAAATATACACTAACTCAAACAACAATTTTAATACCAAAACACTCAGCACACAATCAGATGTAAAAAGCATGCCTCCAAAAAAGTTAAAATAACAGAAAAATAGCAAGTAATTTTATTTTCAAATTCATAATTAATTAATTATTTTTGAGTTAATTTATAAATATATTTTAATTTGTATTTATTCAAAAAAGTTCGCCTGTGAAAGTAACAACTGAAAGAATAAGCAGGACATCAATGAGCAGACAGAGATAATATTCATTTGCTGAGGAGACAAGTAGTCCTAGCAATAATATAAATTAAAGCAATAAAAAAAAACAAAAAGATAGATGCAGGTCATCATTAGCGTAAATCTTATTATGCTTTTAATATAAATATTTAATTTTATTAAAGTACTTAGCAGACAACTCAAAATGATGAAGAATAAACGAAAAGAAAGAAAAGTTTAACATCAAAGAATGCAGTATATAAATCAATAGACCTCTCATATGATAAATTAAGAGTAAAATTTATAAAAATAAACAAATGTTAAAGTTGTTCATACAGTATTAATAGATATGTAATCGACTCTCCTTGAGAGTAGCCACAATCCCTTAAGACTTCTCAGAGAGAGATGAACTGTTTCTGAAAGATCTTCTAACTGATTTAAGGACATTTAATACTCTCTTTGCTAAATTTTAATATTTTACTGGTATGCACCTGCTTACAGTGGGAAAAATGTATCAAGTTAACAAAAAAAGCATCTATACAGAAAAGAGTCAAGGAGTCTCCTTTTACATTATTTTATATGGAAGAGTCATACTAAAAACAAAGGCTGAAGGAATTTACAAAGAATGTATCATGGGCGACACATTTGGAGAAGATTACATTATCACAAAATAAGAAGATAAAAGGTATTTATTTATTTTATTTATTAATGAGTTTATTTTAAATTACATAAAATTTTCAATTTTAGTAAAATAAAAATATTTTAAAAATAAATTAACCTAAGTTAATTATTTTTTTAGCTTATTTAAAAAATTAATTTAACTAAATTTCATAGTTTTAGAATTTATTTTACATAGAATATTTGTTTGTATTTAATTAATTATTTTTTCATTTGATAATTAATAAAAAGATAAGAAACAGCCAAGGCAACCGACGAAACTTGTATTTTAGAGTTTTATGATAAAGATCTAGAAACTTTAAAGTGTAAGTGTTTAAAAGATCATTTAAGAGATGATTTTACTAAACTCCTTTCTTTAATTAGAAGAGGCTATTTAAGTAAAAAATCCTCTAAGTAAAATGTTGCATTCAAAAATGATATTCCTCAAATGGTTTATTCTTGAAATTAGTATGTGAACAAACGAGCTTAAATAATTAATTAATTACTCAATTTATCAATAAAATGATAACTTAAGATGAATTCGTTAGCTGAAAAAAACTATACACTTTAAATTGAGTAGAAATAAGTAATAATTTAAAATATTTAGAAATCTAAGCTTTAATACTTATTTTATGACTACCTAACTTAACAGTCTTGCTTAATTGCTTAATTTTATTTAACAGAAAAAATATCAATTTAATTAACACAATAAATAAAGCAGATTCTTTGTTTTAAAAATAAAAAAGAATACTTAAGCTTAGTTTTAGATAAATTTAAAATTAATTATATCAATTTCAAAATATGCACTCACACTTTAATTTTCAATAAATGTCCTAAATTTCTCTTTCTCTTACATTCAATAATAAGAATAATTAATATTTAACAAATAATAATTAAAGGTTAACCAAATAAATTTATTAAATAAAATTAAATGTACAAATTTATTAAAAAATATGTTTTACTTCGTTTCAATTTGTCAATTTTATATTTCTCATTCTAACTATTTGCGTTTAATTAATAAATAAATAAATAAATAAATAAATAAATAAATAAATAAGCTTATTGACTAAAATCAATTTTATTTTTTTTAAATAAAACTTCAAAATACAAAAATAAAATTATTGAATCCTATTTTAACATAAATACTAATAAATATATCTTTTTATGCTAAAAAAGTAAATTCCAACACTTAAAATAGTAAAATAAATTATATTATCAAATTTAATTAATGAGTTAACTAATAATCAAAAATTAATAATAAAATAAAGAAAATGCAAAAAATAAATACTTATTTAAATAGACTAGATATAAACTTACTTTATATTTTATTTATTTTTAAGATTCATTGATTGGTAGATAGATAGATCATAGATAAATAGATAGAAAGATACATAGATAAATAAATAATAGATAGATAGATACATAATTATTTATATACGTAGATAGATAAAGAGATGATGAATAGATAGATAAAAGATAGTAGATATATAAATAACACATATACATATATATATAAAGAGATAACTATTATATTTATAGATACGTACTTAAAATAAGCAAAGATAATAGAGTATTTTTATTAATACATTTATAAATTAATTAATTATATCTAATTATTTAGATTTTTATTACTAATTGGAATAATTAATTATCTCTAAATTAAAATTATTTATCAATCAATCAATATTCAATTGAATAGATTTCAAAAAACTAAAAATATTTTATTTTGCAAGCAAATATTTTTTCTATAAATGATAAATTCAATTAAAAAATTGATAATGAATTAATAAATGAATTTGATAGGATATTTAGGAGTTAGGGAGTACTATCTTATGTTTTTAATTTATTACTTACTATTACTAACCTGACTGCTTAACTTTCTTTTAAGTTTTTTTATCAGCAGGAGATAGCATCTCAGGTTCGTTAAATTGGATTCTTTGAGCTAAATATGTTTTTTAGTCAAAAATCTCATATAATATTCATATTTCTTTAGAATTTCTTCATAATTTTTCTTTTTTTAATTTTAAAAGAGAATAACTTGCGAATGGAAATATCTGCTTTTTTTAATGGAGATCTTTTTGTTAAGTTTTTTCTTCGCTTCTTTTGATATTCGCATAATATTGTATTTTTGGTCATTTATTATTTTATTTTTCAAATGTAAAAGTTTATTATTTACTTTCTCAATTCTTTCATTGAAAAAAGAGTCTATTTGAGACTTCCCATCAGCTCTTCCACCTTATACTTTTCATTTCGTCTACTTATCGAAATCTATCTTCACCATTTTCTTTTAATTAAACGAAAAAAATAAAAGCCTAAATAAATAAATAAATTTAATTTTAATAAATTTTCATGCAATAATTTTATGATTATTTGATTGATTGATAGATTAATAGATCAATAGATCAATCCCATTTTTATTTATTTATTTATTTATTTATTTATTTATTTATTTATTTATTTATTTATTTATTTATTTATGATTTTGATATATTTTACTTGATTAGATATTTAATTCATCCAAACTTCTTAGAATTACTTCTACTTGTAAACTTTTCCAATATCTGCCATGTTATTTTGATTAATAATTCTATTTTCAAATTTTTCTTTTGAGATCTTTCTGTTTCAACAGTCCTGTTGTACAATCTGTGAGGTAGTGAGTAAGAAGTCATTTTCTTTATCTCGCTTGTTTTCGTCTTTTTACTTATTTTCATTTAATTGCTATTTTTTAGAACTAATGTAATCTTTTACCTATTAATTATCTATAATATATCAAGTTTGTTAAATCATGTAATTATCATCATAATCTCTAATTATTCTCTAATCATATTAGTTTTTTTTTTTTATAAGCATATTTTATTTAGGTATATGCAGTATTCCCTCGTTAAGATTCACCGACCGGTCAAACGGTGTAGTTTTTTTTTTTTAAATTTGGTTCTTCTTAACTTAAAAATTTTTTTAAAATTTATTCTTATTATATTCTATGTAAACAAAAGATTTTCATATCTTTAGAGTATGCTCTAAACATCATTTTATTTTATTTATTTCTATATTATCTTATAGATTGAGCTTTTTTTCATATACAGCTTGTACTAGTATAAATTCAGGATGGAATGATAATAATTGTTTTATCTGCGCAACTACTACTGTTCCTCCAACTTATGCTATTTATGCTAATGGTGATGATACTTCTTGTGTTGCTTCTTCTGATTCATGCACCGATGCAAAAAGAAATATGGATTTGACTGTTGGTGATTGCACCCTTTGTACTCCTAATACCCCTGCATTGATTGGTGCTACATGTACAGCTTGTACTAGTATAACTTCAGCATGGACTGATGCAAATTGTAATGCTTGTGCAGCAGGTGGCAGTGCAGTTTTTGCGAATACTGCTGGTTCTTCTTGTGTAGCTTCTTCATTTTCAGGCAACCAAACTACCAGAAGTACAAACAAGTGGAATGATACTGACTGTGATTTCTGCAATGGTACTACTGCTAATGCTGCTCAATATGCCTCTGCTGATAGTTCTTTGTGTGTTGCTGCTTCAGCTTCATGCACCACCAGAGGAAGTGCTGCTTGGACCATTGGTGATTGCACCCTTTGTACTCCTAATACCCCTGCATTGATATGTTTTACATGTACAGCTTGTACTAGTATAACTTCAGCATGGACTGATGCAAATTTTAATGCATGTGCAATAATTTCCAAAGCTAAAACTAATTTTGCTAATACTGCTGGTTCTTCTTGTGTAGGTGCTTCATATTCATGCAACCAGACTACCAGAAGTACAAATAAATGGACTGATACTGACTGTGGTATCTGCAATGGTACTACTGCTAATGCTGACCAATATGCCTCTGCTGATGGTTCTAAATGTCAAGTTACAAAGGCTGTTAGTAATGCTAATACTGCTAGTACTTTCAGTAGTTAGATCTTTGTTAGCATTTTATTAGTTTTATCTACTTTTTTAATTTGATTTTTCAAGTTTCAAACAAAAATTTAGAATTTAAAATTTCACTTTTTGATTGTTGGTATATTTTTATTTGTACGTACTAGTTTGATTAAAATATGTGTAAAACTATCATTTTAATATAGATAAGAATTTTAATTTCAAAATAAATGATTTAACAGAAACATATTAAATTTTAAAATAAAAAATTAACTCTTTATTTTGATAATTTTCAGAGTTATAACAAGTATCCTTAAAATTTAGAAATAAACTTATTTGTTAAAAACAATTATCTATTAAAATAAAAATCAATTCTAAATAAAACCAAAAAAAATAACACCATGATTTAATAAAAATATTAGAAAAAATTCAATAAAATAAACAATTTTTATATACCATTAAGTTTAGATAATATTGTATTTATAATCATCTAATAGCTTTTAGCATATTCTCAATACTTCATTAAGCCTTTATAAAAGTTTACTTTTCAAAAAATAGCTAAAATTAAAATTTATAATTATTAAGAAATTAAAAATTCTTTTTAGAATTTAGATTTATTTAATTTATTTCATATTACATGATTTTAAAAGTTATTTAATTTGTAAAAAATTCAAATTTCTTGTTTTGAAAGATTTTTTTTTTTAATTAATTTTTATTTCTTTTTATAAATCCTATTTTAACATAAATACTAATTAATATATATATCTTTTTTATGCTAAAAAAGTAAATTCCAACACTTAAAACAATAAAATAAATTTTTTTATAAAATTTAATGAATGAATTAAATAATATTTAAAAAACAATAATAAAAAAGAAAATGCAAAAAATAATTACTTATTTAAATAGACTTGATATAAACTTACTTTATATTTTATTTATTTTTAAGATTTATTTATTGGTAGATAGATAGATAAATAATATTAGATTTATACATAATTATTTAAATACATAGATAGATATATAGTTGATGAATAGATAGATAAAAGATAGTTAGATATATGAATAATATATATTAAGATTTAATATAATATTTATAGGTACATACTTAAAATAAGCAAACATATAGAGTATTTTTATTAATATATTTATTAGTTAATTAATTAATTAATTATTGATCTAATTTTTAGATTTTTCTTAAAATGAGAAAATTAGTTTAGAAAATATTTTGAAATATAAATGAATTAATTTTATGAGATTTTTTATTAATTTTATTTAATATTAATTAATATATATAATTAGTTTGTTTTGAAAAATCTTTAAATTGAAATCAAAAGTTGGTCAATTTTTATGCATTTCTGATCTTTTTTTATTTGATGAACTCTTTAATTTTCCTAATTCTGTCATATCTATAAGCAGTTATGCTGTTTGCTGGATTAGAAGGGTCAAGCATGCATTCTCTATATTCACTGGCACTTTAGTGCTGCAAGTCAATTAGTTCTTTGAACTCATTTTGCTTCATTTTAAGCATGACCATAGATGTGTTAGACTCAGGGTAGTCATATTGCTCTAAAATTTACATAAAAAAATCTATATTGTCCAATGTTTTGTCATAGGATTTCTTTATTTTAATAAGCCTTTTTTAGCTTTGGAGCATTTCATCATTAATGAGTATTGTTTTTTCTATTTATAATTGGACACCAATTAATTTCTACAATTTATCTTTTAATGTTTTAATTTTTTCATTAAACTAATGAAGTTTATTTTTATTGTTTTTGTCTAATTTCAATTCTTCCAAATGCGATAAATCCATTTCTATAATTTGTCTGATACTTTTATAGAATACACTAAGTACTTGAGGATCATCAAATTTCTTGCCTTCCTTAAAAGTACCATCTATTATTGTTGACAACTCATTGATTACCTAAGGTATTTGCTTTACTTAATTAGCATCTAGTGGTTTTCCCTGGTAGTTTAAGCTTAAAGTTGAATTATGATTTTGATCAATATAACAAATTGATTGGTCATAGCTGTTATTGTTTTAAATTAACTAAGAATTATTTTGATATTAAGGAGTATGAGTAGTTTTTTTGCTGCTACTATGAGGACTCTTTTGATTTCTTTAAGAACTGTGTATAGACATGAATTTTTTTTTATCTCTTTAAGCAGGGGAGAAACTTGATTGTTAATGCTGAGACATCATCTAGCTTTCATTTATGCTATAACCTTCTAAGAATTCTTCTTTTAAAATAAATCTTTTATTTTATTCTATCTAGTTTTTCGTGGAATATGTTTGTTGTATTTATTTTATTTAATTAGGATTTTGATTGTTATTTTTATCTCTATTTCCTAAGCTAGGTAAAATTACACTCTAAAACTAAGGAAAATCTAAAGACTAAAATTTTTTCGAAGCAGGAGAATTCCTTTCAGGAAAGGTAAGACTAGAAGAATCGTTGTAATTTAAGATTTCGTTCACACTTCCAAAGTTAAAATTTGGATTATGAGCAGCAATACCCATCGGAGTGTAATTATTACCAAGTCCATCGCTTTTTACCTGCACTTTATTTAAAAACTGCAGTCTTCTATCTAGTGTGTGCATTAGTTTTTTGCTTAAAGGTGAATCACCTTTAATATTTTGTTAATTCTGAGCATCATAACTTGACATAACACTAGATTCTTTTCTCGTGCTCTTCCTTGGATAAAAAGACTCTTCAAAGACTCTCTATTTTCATTAAAAAAAGATTCAAAATATGTAAATAGCTCAAAAAAACTATTTATTGAGAATTTCTACTTTAAAATTAACTACATAAAATAAGTTTGTTTTTGAAATAAAAAAATGAGTAATTTTTATAATTATAAAGATAAATTAATAGGAAATTGCTTATTAATTTAGAATAAATCATCATTCTTAGAGCAGTTAAAATAAAATCTATTGCGTTAAAATGTTTGCTTTGTGGATTTTAAATAAAAATTGCATTTTAAAACCCAGGAATAACAAAATAAATATTCTAAGCAATTAATTAAATCTTAATCAAATCCTAAAAGTTTTTCTAAATTTTCTATTAAAATTTGTTTGCTATTGATTCATTCCTTTTATAGAGAGTAATTTATAATAGTAAGAGTAACAAAAAAATAATATCACTCTTTTTTACACTTTGTTATTTTTACTATTAACTAATTAACTAACTAAAAGATATTTGTATAAAGAGTTTATCTCTCCTATTTAAACTTTAATTTCTTTTTAAATTCTAATAATAATCTAAATTAAAACTATTTATCAACCAAAATTTAATTGAATTGATTTCAAAAAACTAAAAATATTTTATTTTATTAGCAAATATTTTATCTGGGAATGATAAATTCGATTAAAAAATTGATATTGTATTAATAAATGAATTTTATAGGCTTACATCGATGGGCTATTTAGGAGTTTGGGAATACTATCTGATGTTTTGAATATATTACTATTACTAATCTGATTGTTTGACTTGCTTTTACTTTTGGGTTTTTTTATCTGCAGAAGATAGCATCTCACTTTTATTTAATGGATTTTTGGTTCGTTGAATTGGACTCTTTGAGCTTGGCAAAAAGTGAAAATATGTTTTATAGTCAAAGAATCCCTTGGGCTATTCACATTTCTTTAGAATTTCTTCTTAATTTTGCTTTTTTTAATTTTCGTCTAAAGAGAATTGCTTGCGAAAGGAAATATCTGCTTTTTTTTAATGAAGATCCTTTTATTAAGTTTTTTCTTCGCTTCTTTTGATATTTGCATAATACTACATTTTTTGATCATTTATTATCTTATTTTTCAGATGTAAAAGCTGATTGTTCATTTTCTCAATTCTTTCATTGAAAAAAGAGTTTATTTGAGACTTCCCACCAGCTCCTCCACCTTATGCTTTTTTTGTCGTCTACTAATCGAAATCTATTTTCACCATTTTCTTTTCATTAAACGAAACTAATAAAAACCTAAATAAATAAATCAATTTAATTTTAATTAATTGTGTTGCAATAATTTTATGATTGATAGATCGTTCAATCGATGGATCCCATTTTTATTTATTTAATTATGATTTTGATATTTTACTTGATTTGATATTTAATTCATCCAATCTTCATAGGCTTACTTCGACTCATAAACTTGTCCAATCTCTGCCAAGTTATACTAATTAATATTTCTATTTTCAAAATTTTTCTTTTGAGAGCTTTCTGTTTCTACAGTAGTGTTGTACGATCTGTGAGGTAGCGAGTAAGAAGTCCTTTTCTTTCTCTCGCTGGTTTCATCTTTTTACTTCTTTTCATTTAATTGCTTTTTTTTAGCACTAATGTAATCTTTTATCTATTCATTATCTATAATATATCCACCGTGTTAAATCATGTAATTATCATCATAATCAGACATGCTACTGCTCATAGAAGCCTAACTCTTCTCCTCATAATCGTCATCCGTATTAAGAAAAATCTAATGCTTCTTAAACATTTCTTTGTTTAGTAGGGATAAAACCTAAAAAAATAAATAAATAACAATATCAATAAATCTTTTGTAATTTAATTATCCTTCACATAATACTCCAAATAAGCAAACAAATAAACAAATGAATTAATAATTAATCGCAAAAATATTATTTGTTTGTTATTCAAATTGAAAAATTTAATTAAATTATATGCATAAAAGCAAGCATTAGATAAAATATCATCCATCATAAATTCCTACCTAATTTAATTGAAATTTGCATCTCAATTAAATTAATAGTAACCAACCAACATTTTTATCACATTTTTTCTTAATTAAGAAAAGAAAATAAATAAATACTTGCTAACCACTTCTTTTTATCTTATGAACAAAAATCTTTATCAAAAATAAATAAACAAACAAACAAATAAAAAAAAATATAATAAAGAGACTATGTTTACTTTTCTTTATTTCTTTTTTATTTAAGATAGAAATTTTTTTATAATTAACATTTTTTATTTAGAAATTCATATTTTGTTTTTTATTTCTTTTTTATTTAAAATTCTAATAGAAATATTTTTTTCAAAAATAAAAAATAATTTAAACATTTTATTATAATTCATATTTTGTTCTTAAATTTAAACCAATTTTTATATTTTTTAAATTTACTTATAAAAATTGGTTTAAATTTACTTAAAAAGAATTAAATACCTTAATTTTTAATAATATTTTTCGAGACCTGATTCTGATATATATTTTTCTGCTATTTAACCGACTAGTGTATATATAATCAGAGTAAGCCAAAAGGTGAGCTAGAGTACACTTTTACCTATATATCTGTAGCAAATAAACAAAGAAAGAATGATGTATTAATCAAATTGCTGTAGTAATAAAAAACTGATTTTGTTTGTAATAAATTAGTGGTAAATTTAAAAAATTTTATTAATAATTACTAGGAATATTTTAATTAAAGAATTTTGCAAAACATATATTTACTTATTAACTTTATTTTAACGTATTATCTTAGAGTATGTAATTATTTGTAAAGTTTTTTTCTTACGTTTTTTAAATTGTTTATGTTCATCTCCAATAAAATATCTCTAATCACATAATCACAGTTAAATAGTTAAAGGAAATGGTTGTCAATAGCACAATTATTACAGTAAATATAATCTTTAATACAGCTGAACAAATATTTGAACCAACTACCTTTAGTGTAAACAACCTTCATTGGGTATTGGGTAGAAAAATAAATAGATTTGCCCTCATTCTGAATTTAGGAATTAAAATTAAAAATTAATTCAACCAACTTACCACAAGTAATCAACAGCTTAGAAAAAATATATATCTACAAAAAATCGCTTTAATATAATAAAAGCAAATATACTATCTTATATTATTTTATATATTATTATTGAAAATATTTAACATTTCATTTTGACTAAATTGAATTCCTAATCTTTAAAATTTTAGCTAAAATGGAATTGGCATAAAATAAAAACCTGATTTATTTGACATGTTTAATAGATGAATTTTCTTTACTAATTAAAAGGATGAATTTGCTGTTTGTTATACCTTATAATAGCCACTAAAAACTTTCTTTTACAAAATTACTAAAATTAAATTGTTTGTAAGCAACTGTTTTTTATTTTTTTTATTACAAAGATGCATTTTTACTAAGAATCATATTTTGTTATGCTAAAAATTTATTTGTAACATATTGATGGAGAGGGGATTTAATTTTTATTTTTCTATTCAAAATAAATGAAAAAAATAATTTTACATTTAAAAAATGAATGAAAAACTTATTTTTAAATGAATGGAGACCCTAGTTTTATAATCCCATAAATATATTTCAGAGTCATCACCCATATAAAATCTTATTATGCTATTATACTAATTAAGGTATGCAGAAACCAAATATCATAACAAAATTTTCATGGTTGGTTTGGTTTCCAACATAAAAAAATCACCTATAGAGTTTTAGGAATAAAATAACAATAATACTATTTATAAATAGAAAGTATAAATAACAAAATATTACTAACAATCTGACTATTCATAGCTTTAGATAATTTTAAGCTTAGTTACACTCACTGCAGTTTCAGGTTAATTATTTTTCTTAATTAAGATTGCTTCCCTTTTTTAATTATACGTAAGCTTGAAAAGAAAAAAATGTATATTTTATATTGTTTTTGACAATATATATAATCCTGTAAATATAATTTTAAAAAAAACAAATATCATAAATGGATTTGAATATCAATTATAAATTGATATTATACATAACTAGATGTGAATTTGTTGTATTTCTTTTCAAAAAACATTTATTACTTTTTTAATATTTTACTTTTATACTTAATTAAGATTAGATTGCTGTTTAGTTCAAAGTAACGTTGAAAAGAAAAAAATATTTAATTTTATACTGTTTTTGACAATATATATAATATTGTAAATATAATTCAAAAAAAAACAAATATCATAAATAGATTTGAATATCAATTGTAAATAGATATTATAAATAACTAGATGTGAATTTGTTATATTTCTTTCAAAAAACATTTATTACTTTTTAACTATTTTATTGTTATTGTTAATTAAGATTGGTTTACTGTTTATTTCAAAGTAAATTTGAGAAGAAAAAAATTTATAATTTAATAAGGTTTTTGACAGTTTGTATAATACTTTAAATATCATTTAAAAAAATATTTATGTTATAAATAGACTTGAAAATCTATGATAAATAGATATTATTGATAACTAGATGTGAGTTTGTTGTATTTCTTTTCAAAAAATATTTATAACTTTTTAAATATTTTATTATTACTCTTAATTAAGACTGTTTTACTGTTTAGTTCAAAGTCAATTTGAAAAGAAAAAAATTTATAATTTAATAAGGTTTTTCACAGTTTCTATAATCCTGTAAATATCATTTTAAAAAAAATATATATCATAAATAGACTTGAAAATCTATGATAAATAGATATTATACTTAACTAAATGTGAGTTTGTTATATATATTTCTTTATGAAAAAATATTTAAAACTTTTTAAATATTTTTGAAGGGAGAAGAATCAATGAATGAATTAAAATCACATAAACTAAAAAATATTAAATAAAAAAAAACTGTATATTATTTAATAAAATAATTTGTTTATTTAATTTAACAAAATAAAATATATTTTAAGACAGAGAATTTATTTAAAATATTCATAAGTTATTTTTCTATTCAGAATGAAGTTGTGGATAGATAGATAGACCTTTCAAAAATAATTCAAATTATCTAATTAATACTTTAAATGATAAGCAAATTTATTCATAATTAATATGATCAAATAATGTACCAATTTCTAAATTCTGTGTAAATCTTATCTATTAATTAAAAATACATTCAAAAATTGGTTGTTAAATTTTTTTTTGCATAAAGATTATCTGTTGTATTTAATTATCAATTGCTTAGAAGGAAAATTCATAAATCATTATTCAAGTAACTTTATTAAATTAAAACAATCCATCCCACTTTATACTTCTATTTTATTGTAGCAAAAATTTGACAGTCACAGATATTTTTATCTCATATTTACAGATAATTAATTATTCAAATAACTTTACATTTTAGTATTTATTAATAACAACTCTGTTAAATTTTAAAGCATCAACTATCATTATGCTATGGAAGGAAGGAAGGAAGATATATTATTCAAATTTAATGCACTTAAAAAAGAGGAAATAAAAAATAATTATTTTTTTATATACGTGATATAGAGGTAATAGTGTAATCAGTAATTTATAACAGATGCTTGTATTAGAGAATTTATGAACAAAAAGTGCCCAGCGCACTCAAAAATTAATTACCCTTTTTAATAACTACTACTATTCCTTTGTATAAATTTGTGTTTATATCTTTCTCGCTTTTCTTTAACAATAATAATTAATTAAATAGAAAAAAATTCAAAAAAAAAAAAATGAAAAACAAAACTCTAATAATTTGCTTAATAATTTCTTAACTTCTTGTTTCTGTATTTTCAACATCAGGAATTAATGTTGCTTGTGCTAATAATAGTAACTCTTGTTTGTCTACCTGTCCAGTACCTACAATTACAGGATCTGGTACATAAGCTTGTTCTTGGACTGGAACACTTGCGATGGGATGCGCTATTACTGATTGTACTTGCCTAACAGCAGGACCTCCAACTTCTATAACCGGTTTAACTGATTTAACGTGTACTTCTTGTAAAGGATCTACCTAAAATTTATATGCTAATCCTTCAGGTACTGCTTGTATAAGTTCTAGTTCTTCATGCACCAACAGAGGTTAAGTTGCATGGAATGTTAGTGATTGCACCCTTTGTACTCCTAGTACCCCTGCATTAGTTTCTGGTGCTTGTTAAGCTTGTAATACTATAACTAGTGCATGGACTGATGATAATTGTCATGCCTGTGCAAGTACTGCCTCCCCTAAAGGTAACACAAATTTTGCTAACTCTGCTGGTACTGCTTGTGTTAATGCTTCATAAACATGCAATAGTGCTAGTAGAGGTACTACTAGTGGCAATGCTTGGACAGCTGCTGATTGTCTTGCTTGTACTCCTGCTACTCCTGTTTTAGTACCCGCTTCTTAAGGTTCATAAACTACTTCTTGTGCTGCTTGCTCTACCGTCTCTACAGGTTTATCTGATACCTAATGTAATGCTTGTGCAACAAATGCTAGCCCACAAACTAAAAACATTTTTGCTAATGCTGCTGGTTCTGCTTGTATTGCTTCATCCCTCACATGCAATAGTTCTAGTAGAGGTACTACTAATGCCAATGCTTGGACAGCTCCCGATTGTCTTGCTTGTACACCTGCTACTCCTGCCGTAAAGCTTGATGCTTCTCCTGCTACTACTTCTAGTTGTGTTGCTTGTAATTCTATTACTTCAGGATGGACAGATGATAACTGTAATTCATGTGCTATGACTGCTAGCCCTACATCAAAAAATATCTTTGCTAAAACTGATGGAAGTAGTTGTGTAGCAGCTTCATATTCATGCAATTAAACTTCCAGAGGTTCAAATAAATGGACTAATGCTGACTGTGCTCTCTGCAATGGTACTGCTAGTAAATCAAATCAATATGCTTCTGTTGATGGTTCCTCATGTCAAGCTAGTACTTTCAGTGGTTAGATCTTTGTTAGCATTTTATTAGTCTTATCTGCTTTGTTAATTTGATTATTCAAGTTTCAAACAAAAATTTAGAATTTAAAATTGCACTTTTTGATTGTTGGTATCTATATTTTTATATCTATGTATGTACTGATTTGATTAAAACAAGTGTAAAATTATCATTTTAATTTAGATAATAATTCTAATTTCAAAATAAACTATTATTAAATACAAATTTATTAAATTTTAAAATAATTTATTTTGATTATTATCAGAATTATTTATTACTTAATGGTTGGTATCCTTAAAATTTAGAAATTAATTTATTTGTTAAATGAAAGTATTTATTTAAAAAAAAATTAATTCTTTTACTAAACAAGATAACACAAATTTAAAAAAGCAAAAAGAATAATTAAATTCAAATAATTTTGTATTTATAATCATCTAAATAGTTTTTAGTATATCCTCAATACCTTATCAATCATGTATGCCTTCCATTATAAAAGTAAACTTTTCAAAATTTACCTAAATTAAAAAAATTTTTGTAAATTTTTAAAAAATTTTATTTTATAAAATATGACATATTGAGAATATAAATGCTGTAAACTTTTTATATGATTATAAGTAAAATATTATCTTAGAATATTAATATTATTTGAGTTTATTTGCTTGCAAAAATTCTTTATTCTAATGCATTTTTTGTAATTATTTTATTTCTTTTTTCTTTTTAAATCATGATTATATCAATCTATTTTCTTTTAGTTTTTACTAAAATAAATACTTGTATTTAACAAATAAATTAATTTCTAAATTTTAAGGATACCAATCAGTAATAAATAATTCTGATGATAATCAAAATAAAGACTTAATTTATTACTTTAAATTTTATAAGTATATTTTAAATAGTTTATTTTGAAATTATTTTCATGAATTAAAATGATAATTTTACACATTTTTTAATCAAATTAGTACATAAATATAAAAATATACCAACATTCAAAAGGTGCAATTTTAAATTCTAAATTTATGTTTGAAACTTTAATAATCAAATTAACAAAGAGGATAAAACTAACAAAGTGCTAACAAAGATCTACCCACTGAAAGTACTTGATGTAGAAAGCTATGTAGATTGACATGAAGAACCATCAGCAGAGGCATATTGATTAGCATTACTAGCAGTACCATTGCAGAGAGCACAGTCACGATCAGTCCATTTGTTAGAACCTCTGGAAGTTTGATTGCATGAATATAAAGAAGCTACACAAGAAGAAAAAGTACCATTAGCAAAGACATTTTAAGTTGGAGGGGAAGCAGTTGTTGCGCAAGCTTTACAATTTGCATCAGTCCATTCTCCTGAAGTTACACTATTACAAGCTGTACAAGTAGAACCAACTAATGCAGGGGTATTAGGATTACAAAGGATACAATCACTAATAGTCCATGGAGCACCGGATCTGTTGGCAGTGGTGCATGATGCAGAAGCAGCTACACAAGAATTACCAGCACCATTAGCATAAATATTTTTTGTTGGAGGGGAAGCAGTTGTTGCACATGAATTGCAATTTCCATCATCCCAAGTAGTTATACCAGTACAAGATGCACAAGCACTGCTAACCAATGCAGGGGTGGTAGGAGTACAAGCAGCGCAATCAGCAGCAGTCCAAGCAGTAGATCCTCTGGAAGTGGATTTACATGAAGCAGAAGCAGCTACACAAGAAGTACCAGCACTATTTGCATAAACATTTTTAGTTGGAGGGGAAGCAGCTGTTGCGCAAGCATTACAATTTGCATCAGTCCATCCTGATTTTATACTACTACAAGCTGCACAAAATTAACTAACTAATGCAGGGGTAGCAGGATTACAGAGGATGCAATCATTTAGATTCCACATAGTATCTAATCTGTCGTCATTTATGCATGAAGCAGAAGTAGCTACACAAGCAGTACCAGCAGCATTAGCAAAGCTTGTTTAGGAACTTCCTATACAAGATTTACAAAATGCATCATTTAAACCAGTTGCAGTTCCTGAATTTATGCAATTACAATCAGCAATTTAGCAAGTGGACAAATTCTATCCTCCATTCCAAGAGCAAGTTCCACCTCCTGAAACTATAGGTGTTCCACAAGCACTAGTACAACTGGCTATAGAATCACCTTTACAAGTAACTTAAACACCTGCTGCTGAAAATACAGAAACAAAAATCTTTGAAAGTACTAAGCAAATTATTAGAGTTTTGTTTTACATTTTTATTTGTTAAACTTTTTTAATTAATTAATTAATTAATTAATTATATTTGTTAAATAAAACTGAGAAAGATATAAACACAAATTTAGGTAAAAATAATAGTTATAATTAAGAGGGAAAAGTGAGTGAGTGAACCCTAGACCAACTATCTTTTAAAAAAATTTATTTTTATCGTCCAATATTTTCTTAAACTCAAGCATTTTAAAATAAATATATGGATTGGACCAGATAGAGTTTTTAGAATTATATAATATTACTATTATTTATAAATAAAAAGTATAAATAACAAAATATTAATCTTACTTTTCACAGCTTTAGTTGATTACATACTTAGCTACAATGTAATTTATTTTTAATTATTTTTCTTAATTAAGATTGGTTCACTTTTTAGCCACATTTAAGCTTGAAAAGGAAAATATTTATTATAATTTTATACTGTTTTTGATAATCTGAATAATATTGTAAATATAATTTAAAAAAATAAATATATCATAAATAGGCTTGAAAATCAGTGATAAATAGATATAATACTTAACTAAATGTGAATTTATTATAGTTCTTTATATAAAAGTATTTATAACTTTTTAAATATATTGTTATTATTCTTAATTAAAATTGGTTCACTTTTTAGCAACTTTTTTAGCTAAAAAAGTAAAATATTGATAATTTTATACTGTTTTTGACAATCTGAATAATACTGTAAATATAATTTAAAAAAAAATAAATATCTTAAATAGACTTGAAAATCTAAGATAAATAGATATAATACTTAACTAAATATGATTTTATTATAGTTCTTTATGTAAAAATATGTATTACTTTTTAAATATTTTGTTATTATTCTTAATTAAGACTGGTTCACTTTTTAGCTACATTATAAGCTTGAAAAGTAAAATACTGACAATTTTATACTGTTTTGACAATCTGAATAATCCTATAAATATAATTTTTAAAAAAAAATACATCATAAATACACTTGAAAATCTATGATAAATAGATATAATACTTAACTAAATATGATTTTATTATAGTTCTTTATGTAAAAATATGTATTACTTTTTAAATATTTTGTTATTATTCTTAATTAAAATTGGTTCACTTTTTAGCAACTTTTTTAGCTAAAAAAGTAAAATATTGATAATTTTATACTGGTTTTGACAATCTGAATAATACTGTAAATATAATTTAAAAAAAAATAAATATCTTAAATAGACTTGAAAATCTAAGATAAATAGATATAATACTTAACTAAATATGATTTTATTATAGTTCTTTATGTAAAAATATGTATTACTTTTTAAATATTTTGTTATTATTCTTAATTAAGACTGGTTCACTTTTTAGCTAAATTATAAGCTTGAAAAGTAAAATACTGACAATTTTAAACTGTTTTTGACAATCTGAATAATCCTATAAATATAATTTTTTAAAAAAAATACATCATAAATACACTTGAAAATCTATGATAAATAGATATAATACTTAACTAAATGTGAATTTATTTATTTCTTTATGTAAAAATATGTATTACTTTTTAAATATTTTGTTATTATCCTTAATTAAGATTGGTTCACTTTTTAGTTTTATGTAAGCTTAATAAGAAAAAAATTGATAATAACTTTATACGGTTTTTGACAATCTTTATAATCCTCTAAATGTAACTTTAAAAAAAATAAATATCAACAGTATGCTTGAAAATCAATGAGAAATAGATTTTAGATTTAACTAAATGTGAGTTTGTAATATTTCTTTATTAAAAAATGTTTAAAACTTTTTAAATATTTTTGAAGGGATAGAGGATAAATCGCATAAATATCTAAAAATAAAATACAAAAAAGACTGCTTATTGTTAATTAAATTTTATCCAGAATTAAATAGTTAATATACCTTTTAAAAATAATTAAAACTATCTAATGATTTATCTGATAAGCAAATTTGTTCATAATTAGAAGATCAGGTCATTTATCAATATCTAAATTCTGAGTAAATCTTATTTATTAATTAAAAAATACATTCATGTATTTTACAAATAATATACATTTACAATTTTTTTAAATAGTTCGAATCAAAAAATATTTATGAAATGAATGTTTAATGATTAATAACTAGATAAACATTTTTAATATTCAATCAAATAAATGAATTATTAAATATTTTTTTGAATATTTATAAATTATTATTTATTTTTATTTAAAATAATTTTTCAAATATGAAATAGAATAGGTATTAATTATCATAAATCTAAAAAGTTGGTTATAAGATTTTCAGCATTAAGATGATCTGTTGTTTTTAAATATCAATTACCATAAATCCTCATAAAATAATTCTCACCATCATAAATAAATTTTCACCATATTTTCTGAATAAAAAATTTAAGAAAAAAATGCCTTAATTAAAATACGCCTTAATTAATGAGCATTTACAGTATATAGTTTTTTTAGAGGTAATGAGTTTGATATTTTCTTAAAATAAAGATATGGTTTGGGTCAGCTAGAGTTTTTACAATTATATAACAATACTATTATTTATAAATAAAAGTATAAATAAAAATATTACTAACAATCTGATTTTTCATAGCTTTAGTTGATTTCAAGCTTAGCTACACACACTTTAATATCAGTTTAATTACTATTCTTAATTAAGATTGGTTCAATTTTTAGCCATTTGTAAGGTTAAAAGAAAAAAACTTTTAATTTTATACACTTTTTGACAATCTGTATTATCCTGTAAATACAATTTTTTTAAAAAGTATCATTAATAGACTTGAAAATGAATGATAAATAGATACATGTAATATTTAGCTAAATGTGAGTTTGTTTGTTATATTTCTTTATGAAAAAATATTTATAACTTTTTTAATATTTTTAAAGGGAAAGAGGAATTAAAATCGCATAAATTTATAAAAAATAAAATACAAAAAAGACTGCATACAAATATATTTTAAGAAAGCGAATTTACTTAAAATATTTTTTAGTTATTTTTCTATTCAGAATGTAGTAAGGGATAATAGACCTTTAAAAAATAATTCAAATTATCTAATTAATACTTTATCTGATAAGCAAATTCGTTGATAATTTGAAGACCAAATAATTTATCAATTTCTAAATTCTTAGTAAATCTTATCTATTAATTAATTTAAAAAAAAAATTATTGGCTTAACTTAATTAAATAAAAATATTCCTCATTATACTTCTATTTTGACTGTAACAAAAATTAGTCAGTCACTGATATTTTTATCTCATATTTACTGATAATTATTCCATTAATTTTAAATTTTCATATTTTTAAATAATTACACTGTTAAATTTTAAGTAGTCCACGATTATTATGTTATGGAAGATTAATTATTCAAATTTAATGCACTTAAAAAAGGAAATGAAAAAATAAATATTTTTTTATATAGGTGAAATATAAATTTGTTTATTGTCCACCATTTTTCTTCCCATCTACTTCTCGATCCCATATAACTATTTATTTTTCTAATAGAAATTAATATAATATTAAATAAATTTAGATAATAGTATTTTATATATATTTATGTATTTTGTATGTGGTTTATAATAATTTAAATAAAAAAATGATAAATGAAGATAGTATATTTTTTATCTTAAATGAATATTATATGTTAATGTTGTTTACAAGCAAGCCTAAAAAACTAGCCTCAAGCCTGAATTTATGAAAAATATTTGTGCTATAGCTAAGCTCAAAATTTTTTTTTGATAGTAAAAATATTATTTTTAAAAGTAATAAGTTTGATATTTTCTTATACTCAAGCATTTTAAAATGAAAATATGGCTTGGGTCTGCTAGAGTTTTTATAATTAAAAAACAATACTACTATTTATAAATAATAAGTATAATTAAGAAAAAATGATTAACAATCTGATTTTTCAAAGCTTTAGTTGATTTCAAGCTTAGATAGATACACAGTAATTTTTGTTTAATTATTTTTCTTAATTAAAATTGGTTCACTTTTTTACAAACATGTAAGCTTAAAAAGAAATAATTATTTTATACTGTTTTTGACAATCTAAATAATCCTATAAATATAATTTAAAATAAAACAAATATCATAAATAGACTTGAAAATCAATGGTAAATAGATATTATACATAACTAAATGTGAATCTGTTATATTTCTTTATGAAAACATATTTATAACTTTTTAAATATTTTATTATTATTCTTTTTTAATTAAGTAAGTAAGATTGGTTCACTTTTTAGTTATGTGTAAGATTGAAAAGAAAAATTTTATAATTTTATACGCTTTTTGACAATCTGAATAGTGCTGTAAATATCATTTAAAAAAAAAAATATCATTAATAGACTTGAAAATCAATGATAAATAGATATTATACTTAACTAAATGTGATTCTGTTATACTTCTTTATGAAAACATATTTATAACTTTTTAAATATTTTATTATTATTCTTTCATAATTAATTAAGATTGGTTCACTTTTTAGTTATGTGTAAGATTGAAAAGAAAAATTTTATACGCTTTTTGACAAACTGAATAGTCTTATAAATATAATTAAAAAAATAAAATAATCGTAAATAGACTTGAAAATCAATGGTAAATAGATATAATAATTAACTAAATCTGAGTTTGTTATATTTCTTTATGAAAACACATTTATAACTTTTTAAACATTTTATTATTCTTTCTTAATTAAGTAAGATTGGTTCACTTTTCAGTTATGTGTAAGATTGAAAAGAAAAATTTTTTAATTTTATACGCTTTTTGACAATCTGAATAGTCCTGTAAATATCATTAATAGACTTGAAAATCAATGATAAATAGATATTATACTTAACTAAATGTGAATTTGTTATATTTCTTTATGAAAAAACATTAAAAAGTTTTTAAATATTTTTGAAGCAGATAGAAATCAAAATCGCATAAATTTATAAAAATAAAATACAAAAAAGACAGACTGTTTATTTTTTAATAAATTGGTTTAAATTAATAAAATAAAAAATATTTTAAGAAAGAGAATT